TAAAGGCGCTTTGTTATAATTATGCTTTTCAAACCGTAAAAAAATACACCATGCCCGAAATACACCTTCGATATATAATTTCCAATCTCCGGATCAAAATAGAGTTGAATATATATCTAATCCAACTGGTACTGTATTGTCTAATAATTCGAACAAAAATAAAAACTCAGTATCTTTACAACACTTATTAAACTTACCCATTACGATCAATTTGATTTCTTTCCAAGTACTTCTTACGAGCTCTAAAAGCACGAAGATTCAGTATGGACTTGGTGTTTTACTCAGCTCCTTACTTGTACAAAAAATATATTGGTACTCTATATTAAAAAAATCCTAATAAATTTTTAGTATAAACTCAATTAAGTTTAGTTGAATATGAAGAACACCAATAATTGGAATAAATGACAATACATTGCTTGGTATATCCTTTTCACGATTTAGTAAACGAAGAGTAATGGCTTGTCGCAGAAAAACCTGCCCAGGCCAATTAGCTCGATTGGAAAAACATAATCAGTTAAATAGTTAGTTAGTAAAGAGATTTTATAAACTTGTTGTAAAGTATTAATATACGAATTCATATCCTTAAGACTTAATTCAAAAAAGTCTAGAAGCATTGTGTTCTTCATTTTACGCTCTTCTCGTCGTTCTCTTATGCGATCATTGTATTTGTGAAGAGTTATATTTTCAAGCTTCTTGTCCAAAGATATTTCGCGATGAAACTGATCGTTAAACGTTTTAGCCATTTGCCCCATGTAGTAATGATCTAAAAAAGTATATATAATTTCAGAATCAATTAGTTTTGGATTATGAATTGATATACCATCTAGTGTGACTTGTGGAATAGCTATTGAATTAACGCCATTTAGTAGCAAGGTTGTTATATGTGCTGCACTTGATGTTAAACATGTATCTGGGGTTCGTTCGGTATAGATATTATGATAATCATCAATATTAAGTACTAAGACATTATTTTTTTTATTCTCTAGATACGAATTAACCTTAGACAGATGATTATCGATGATAGCTGTCTTCTCTTTATCAAGATACCTTTGTAAAATCATTATACCAGCATGTGATAAGGCATCTATAGCATCTGTCAAAAGTTCTATCAAATTTACAAAAAGTGAAATATCTTTCTTAAATACTGTTAATTTAGAATTTTGATTGCCACAAAGAATATAACATTCCACTGCCAATTTTTTTATCCAACTTATCTAAATACTTATCACTTCTATTTTGAGGAAGTGATGCGTTATAAATTGAATCAAAAAAATTACTTAGCCTGAAATCCTTAGCCACTATCTCTCTTCATAGCTGTTTAAAGCTGTAAATTGCCAGTTCTTGTTCATTTTTCTCTCGGTTGTATAGAAGCTTGGTTAGAACACTAACACTATTCACCCACGTAAGATTGTGATCATTTTTTGCTACTTCATCTTTTAAATTCCAAAGAGGAATGGCCATGCTTTGATTCTAGCATATTAAATAGTATTGATATACTAAAGAACGATCAAGCGCTTTTCGTTCAATATCGGTTTTTTTTTCAAACAAGCCATCTCTTCGATTTTGTTAAAAAAAAAACTTAATTGACCATTCTTGCCTTTAGTGATAGATCGAAGCTTAGAAAATGAAACAATGGGTGGATCGTTTCCTATAATTTCTCTTTCAACAATAATGTTAGTTAATAAAAAAATACTTTCAGACATAGAAAGGCTATCGTCCTCTCTATGTCTTTTTAATCCCCTCTTATATTCTATAGCATGTTCCTTAAAAATGCTTAATCCATTTACTACAATCGTGTTATAACAATTAGAACACATATACTTATCTTTATGATCTCTATAATACGAAACCAAAGTTCCATTAGCTTCTGCTTTGACCAACACGTTCTCGGTTATTCTTCTCCACGTTGTCGATGAAACACCTTCGCAGATCTTTACAATGCACTGTCTGCTTGAATCTTGAATTAATCTACCATCCATTTCCTATAAACTTTGTCTCTAATAGAAAATCTTAAATATTGTGATTATTTTTGATTAAATTTAATATAATATAGGTTACTAGAAGAG